AATGCTAGCTTACATTTACAGAACATAAATGCTAGCTTACATTTACAGAACATAAATGCTAGCTTACATTTACAGAACATAAATGCTAGCTTACTTTTACAGAGTATAAATGCTAGCTTACATTTACAGAACATAAATGCTAGCTTACATTTACAGAACATAAATGCTAGCTTACCTTTGCATAGTATAAATGTTAGGTTAATTTTATGTGGTATAAATGCTAGCTTACTTTTACAGAGTATAAATGCTAGCTTACTTTTACAGAGTATAAATGCTAGCTTACATTTACAGAACATAAATGCTAGCTTACATTTACAGAACATAAATGCTAGCTTACATTTACAGAACATAAATGCTAGCTTACTTTTTAGCTTACAGAGTATAAATGCTAGCTTACATTTACAGAACATAAATGCTAGCTTACATTTACAGAACATAAATGCTAGCTTACTTTTACAGAGTATAAATGCTAGCTTACATTTACAGAACATAAATGCTAGCTTACATTTACAGAACATAAATGCTAGCTTACATTTACAGAACATAAATGCTAGCTTACTTTTGCATAGTATCAATGTTAGGTTACTTTTACAGAGTATAAATGTTAGGTTACTTTTACACAGTGTGAATGTTAGCTTACTTTTTTACGTGGTATAAATGTTTGGTTAATTTTACAAAGTATAAATGTTAACTTACTTTTAAAACGTATGATTGATATATTGCAGTTTTAGTAAACCTATATTTTCAGAAGATTGAAGGGATACAGTGTACCAGTATAATATTACTCCTAAATGCCCCAGAAAACATAATTGAAAATGTTTCTGAAAATTTTATGCTGCATTATAGTTGCTGACATTTAAATGCTAAACGATTTACACCATGTAATATGTTTTCGTCCATTCTTCCAAGTTTAGCTTCTGCTTGGGGCACAAGGGAGATAATCAGTTCGGTGCCAATTTGAGCTGTGTATTGTGCAAGGACGAGTTGTCATTAGGGAAACGCCAGGAGCCAAAATGTATAACTTGTTAAATAAGCCATCATGAACATGCTGATGGCATTATGGGCAGAAAAGTGGTTTATGAATATAACAAGAAAAGGCAGAGACTTATTTTATTGAAATACAAACTAATATATGTCACGTTTGTCGTATCATGCGCATCCGTCTTTTTTAACTCAACAATTTTCTATATTTTGTTGGAAGAAAGTGAAACTATATAGAGTTAGCGCTATACAAAAATCACTCTCAAATGCATGCACACACAACTGTTTGATGATAGTTTGTGCCTGATACTCTATGGCGGTAACTTTTGGTATTTTGTGTCTGATACTCACAAGTGGTATTTGTGATAACAAGATGCTGATTAAAAGTTTTTATAAAAGGTTAATCAATCATAGTGATTTTGATCACGGTGTTTTTGCTTTGTAATCATCTGCAAATGCTGCTGTCGCTGAGAGAGACATTATAAAACGAATAATCCATAATCACAGCTCCTGATTATATTGATCAGAATGGAATAGGGATGTTATAGTTTTATGTATGAATCCATGTTGATACATCACAAAGTGTTCATCCTACCCTTCATGTTTCAGTCAAGAATTTTATTTTGTTTACTTTGGGCATTGTGGAATAGTTTTGTATTATATTTATCATGACGTTGTATAAGTGAGTTAGTTTTTTGGATGAAGTAAATGCTAATTCTGTCATGCAGTGAGTGAGTTTAGTTTTACGCCGCTTTTAGCAATATTCCAGCAACATCATGGCGAGGAACACCAGAAATGGGCTTCACATTGTACCCATGTGGGGAATCGGACTCAGGTCTTTTTGGCATGATGAACGAACGCCTTAACCACTAGGCTACCCCACCACCCCTCTGTCATGTATGTTCATAGTTACTGAATGTAGTTAATTAATGGTCTAAGATACCAAACATTAATGTCGACATTTAGACTTTTTAATAATTTTGTCAACATTGGAAAAATATATTGTGAGTCAATTTACTAGAGACACTAACCATTAGTCAGTTTCAAACATATGTTCATAGGCTCTGGCTTCTCCTGAATATGAACAAATCGGGATTGAGCCAAAATAGTTTATGACTCTAAACAAATGTTACATCTAATAGACTAGTGCTAAAGTAGCTTCCCTTGGATAAAGGGTAGTTACATCCGATCATCATCATCATCATATTTCCATTCACTTGCAAATACATGCATTCACAACTTGATGTTATGATGTATGACCTTGGTACAATGACAAAATCCGGGCAGCAAAACAGTATCGACGACAGTTGGAGAGGCGGATGAGATCGTCTGATCTGGTAGTCTTCAAAGAGATGCATTCTGCCCAGCACAATGCTGTCAATGCCCTTGTATATGAGGCAAAGAAAGTCTTCTACAATGATGCAATTCAAAAGTCTAATGGCCAAAAGGATCTTTATCGACTGTGTAACAGACTTTTGTTCAAGAAGCATTCAAACCCTCTGCTAAACTATGACTCTAAACTCGAAATGGTGAATACATTCTCCAAGTATTTCACGGAAAAGATTGAAATTCTTCGTTCCAGTCTGGAAAGTAGAACTGTGAGAAGTAGAAGTAGTTCCTGATAATCATACAGCACTGTCCTCATTTTCCCAGATTCATGAGAACGAAACCAGGAACTTATCTCTCTATGTCCAAACAAATCTTGCTCCCTGGACCCGTTACCGACATGGCTCCTCAAGGACTGTTTGGATGAGGTTGTTCCTGTGATGACTCACATTGTAAATCAATCCTTTCCTGAATCTTCTGTTCCTGCAGATTTTAAGAAAGCTTTTGTGTCACCTTTGCTTACAAAACCACAACTGGATGCAGAGGTTTTAAAAAACTATAGACCTGTATCCAATCTGTCGTTTGCATCCAAGTTACTTGAACGAGTTGTTGCTTCACAATTAAACCAGCATCTGAAGAGTACCGGTCAACTGGAAGTGCTACAGTCTGCTTACAGAAAAGGGCATAGAACTGAGACTGCTCTTGTTCGTGTTCAGCACGATCTTCTCCAGGCTGTTGACAAAGATGGTGCAGCAGTACTCATACTCCTTGATCTTTCCTCTGCCTTTGATACTATCGATCAGGGAATACTACTTCGTACTCTAGGGGATAGATTTGGAGTTATTGGAGAAGTGCTACTCTGGCTAAATTTGTATCTGTCAAACCGATACCAGGCTGTGTATGTGGATGGTTGTAGCTCTGAAATGACAGAGCTCAAGTATGGTGTTCCTCAAGGTTCGGTACTGGGACCTATACTTTTCACGATGTACACTTCTCCACTATTTTTGCTTTCATCTATATGCAGATGATACACAGCTGTATCTATCATTCAAGTCGAAGGATAAAACCTCAACCAATACTGCTTTCTCCAGAATTGCAGAGTGCTCAGAAGACATCAAGACTTGGATGACCATGAATTTCTTAAAGCTGAATGAGGAAAAGACTGAGATGCTTGTGATTACATCAAAAGCCATGAGAACAAAGTTAACACTTCCCATTCTTAAGTTGTCATCTTGTGTCATCGAACCAAGCCAGGAGGCTGCAAATCTTAGTGTCTTGTTTGATTCCACACTCAGTGCTGAATGCCATGTAAGCTGGGTCTGCAAAAAGGCTTACATAATCTCCCATCTGGATTACTGCAACTCCCTTCTTCTCGGGCTGCCAAAACATCTTGTCTTTAAACTTCAGAAAGTCCAGAATTCTGCCGCGAGACTAAACAAAAGAATCAGAAGATCAGTACATATCACCCCAATCCTAAAAGATCTCCACTGGCTCAAAGTTGGGGACAGAATCAAGTGCTGACTCTGACATTCCGTGCTAACCACCTCCTCTGTGCATTTCTAAACTCATCCAAGAATACAAACCGGAGAGAACTCTACGTTCCTGTAACCAGTGTCTTTTGAAGCTTCTGTCAGCTCCTACATCATTTGGCGAGAGAAGTTTCAAAATCTCAGCACCTCAGATATGGAACTCCCTCCCATTGGAAATAAGAAGTGCCCCTGAGTTTGAATCATTCAAATCCCTACTGAAAACACATTTGTTTAAAGTCTGCTGCTGTTAGACAGTGTATTCCCTGGACAGTTCATTGCTCACAAGCTCTTTTGAGCAGTTGATTATACTGGAAACAAGTGCTATACAAGTGTATATTTATTATTATTTATGACAAAATGGTTATATTAACTACGAGGGTCGGTCAAAAAGTAGTTGGCCTCACTCTGACAATGATTCAAATGCAGCAATTTTTATGTTTTATTTTGCTTCATATTATCTGTCAACCTCAAGCTAATTGGTTTCGACTTTTTATCTTAGTACTCCCCCAAAACGCAAAATCTGCAATAAATACATCACAAACTTCAGGAAACAAAATATGCTAGAAACATTTTGTGTGTTTGGGATAGGTAGAAGTCCGCTAGAATCCAGTTTAGATATTTAAGTGCTTAAAAAAGCAATTTGTAAATTACAGTCGCTTGTTAAAGTGACTTCCCACTTCATGTTTACTGAAAGAGCTTGTTTTGGAGACACTACCACCCCCTTTCAGATGACGTAATCATAAGGACATAACTTATTCTAATGTTTTCACTTATTCATACATGATGCCAAGGGTTCAAACTAAATACTGAATGGTCACACAAGTGTCAGCTATCAATATATTGTAAACAGTGCTATCTTGAATATGTGGACACAATGTTTTTGAAAGATTGAAATGGGGGTGTCCTTAAAAAACAGCCCTCGACTAAATATATATCAAGCAGTCCAAATCTTTGACTGTTGATTATGATGGGAAGTCATCCAATACTAAACTAAACATATTTTATATGATATTATCTGAGGGCATACCATTATCCAAGAGGTACAAAAGGCAGATTGTTTTTCATTTTCTGCAAAACATTTTTTAAATATTATACCCCAATGTGTTGTGATGACTAATAACTCGCTAACCACATTACCCACACATGTGAAATTTTGGACATGGCTTTGCTAATGATACCTTCAAAATAAAATGGAAGCTTTTCAAACATTGGACATCGAGAATATCGTTAGGGCGACTACTTTTTGACCTTGTGGGGTTAACATGGTGTATCATATGAAATTGCCATAAAATTTTCATATGTTAGACATTGAGATTGAGATTTGTTTATAAACAACAAAGGTATTGAAGCCTGGTTATGTTGACATCTCATTCTGCTTCTAAGAGATGACGACATAAAATGACGATTGAGAAATGCCCCATTTGTTTATAAAAAAACAACAAAGTTATTGAAGCTCTGGTTATGTTGACATTCATCTGCATTCTACCAGCTTCAGCATGCCAGCAATATAGATATGTCACATTGCATCAGAGTATGTTAACATGTTGTCAAATTACCTCCTACATGCATAGGTCCATTGGTGCTGCTAACCTTAGAATGTCCTTGTTCAGTGTTCAAGATTCAAGAATGTAGTGAGTCAGTTTACTTTTACACCAGACACAGCAATATTCCAGCAATATTGCAGCGATCTGTAAATAATCGAGTCTGGACCAGACAATCCAGTGATCAACAGCATGAGTATTGATATAAGCAATTGGGATACGATGACATGTGTCAACCAAGTCAGTGAGCCTGACCACCCGATCCTGTTAGTCGCCTCTTATGACAAGCATGGGTTACTGAAGATCAATTCTAACCTGGATCTTCACAGGTTTCAAGAATGTAACTCAAGGGGATCTTGTCAAAACCCTTAAATGTCCAAAGTACAATTTCAGGGTCTTTATGTTCATAGTTTATATTCACAGTCTGTGACAAACACCTTCACATCTACTAAACTGAAGGTGTATTTTGACATTATTTTCATCTTATTTTTGTCTCAGTTTCTTGATTAGACCAGGACATTGTCTGTTCCTTACTTGTCTATTTACAAAGACTGTAACATTCCTGGGTGTGACATTTAACTACAAAACAAATTAGACCAGAAGAAAGTTTACTAGTAGTGGACTTGGGACTAGTTGCCGAAGTCACAGACTTTATCAGAAGCATCAAAGCTTAATTTTGACAGGAGTGAAATTTAATCAAATTCAACCTAATTTAGAAACCTTAATTCCACAGAGCACTAGTGGACATTGAATGTGCAGCAGATATATGAAGTTTCTGGAAGTCCAGTTCTGTCACATGAAACCATTGGCACTTTGATTAATACTTTTAGTTTTAGTTAGACTTGTTCTCGTCAACAGGATGCTTACCAAGACATTCCAATATATTTCCCTATTTTCGTCTTTTCCTGTCATACTGCAGCTGGGCTGTTTTCAGAAAGAACAATCACATTTCTATTTGGTAAGACGTTGTGAAGTTAAAGTTGTGACATTGAAAGGAAATGAATTGTATCTTATGCAGCAACAGTTGAGGGGATAACCCAAGATAATTGAATTGGTAAGATAGTTTTGCATTTATATTTTAGGCTATTTCACCCCCTTCTTACATAATATGGGGGACGATACAGTAATCAGTTTGTCTGTCAGTCCATGTCTAATATTTTTTTAAATGGACCATAACTCCAAAACTAATAAGTATACTTCCATGAAACTTGGCACTCTCAAAATCCAAATCCTGATTAGTGCCTTTGGATATATAGGAAGATCTAGTTTTGTTCCTGTTTCTATGGCAACATGTTTCACAGTGACACAGCTACACAGTTCACAGGGATATGTTTTTCATGACTAGATCTCCCAAACCACTGATTTTATTCAGGTAGCACAGACAATAACCCAATTCTAAACAAGTCCCTTTGATTCTTACAGAATTGCAGAACTTTGCAAAAATGGACCTGCCATACAAGTAGGAATTATGGGAACCCTGTTCTATGTCCTTGTGTATAACTTCTCTTGTATTAGAAACAGACGGATTAGATGGGAATACTCTCATCAAGTTGGATCTCTCTTGTAGGATTTGCTGTAAGAATCAGATGATTTGTTATCCCCCGCAACGCCTTTTGCGGGGGGTATTAAAATGGACTCCGTGCGTGCGTGCGTCCGTCGTGCACATTTGTCTTTTCCGGAGCAGAACTCTAAAACCGTTAAATGTTTCTTCACCAAACTTGGCACATACATAGATCTGGTGGTGTACTGGTGCCTTTTGGTAGTTTTGGATTTCTGAATAAAATATTTTTGGCATTTCCATGGCAACAAGTTTGACATAGACTGAAATTGGTGATAGTGCTCCTTTCTGGAGCAGAACTTTAAAAACCTTTAAATACTCTCCTTCCACTTTTCTATATACACACCTAAATATTTGACATAGTCATAACTCATAGACATAATCATGAAGAGTATTTTGCCATTGCGAGGGATATTGATGACTTTGTCTTCTTGTTTTATTGAATTTAGGGGCCAGGGGGTTTATTGATGAAAATCTGGTAATTACTCAGTTGTGATCCTGTGCTAGTGTGCATCACGGTATGTAAGTAATGACAAGTAATCTACATGTTACGTTTGTTTTACATGTGAATGTATCTGTACAGATCAATGCATGCAACATCTCAAAACAAAAAAGTAGTAATTATAACGTAAACATTCCCTCTGGATTATGGTAGCCTTATTCCTGGGGATTCACAGAATACATACAAAAAATCAAAAGAAATTTCAACACTAAGTCATAGCTATTCCTAGTGGTATGCCTAATCTACCCCTGAGTTATCTCCCTTGATCCTGACGTCACTGTATGTACAAAACCAGAAAGTGGTTTCTAACACTATGACAGTAAATACATTTGAAGAGTTCTTTTCATGTTTTTAATTTGTTTGATAGTGATACTTGTGACATCGATATACACGCTCAAGTATGATGCTGTTTTAATGATTATGTCCATGACTCGGATGTCAAATGGAGTGTTTTAAAAAAAACTCTTTTGTCGCCAGGGTTTTTTGCCACCATGTCATTGATATCATATGATATTTTCCATCTTTCTTTTTACGATATCTTTTCAACGCCCTGGCACCAGCTTAGATGTCTGATATTTCAAACAACCTCACCACACATATATAGGGATTCTTCAGAGAGCATGTCACACTGATTTTTCAAAACATGTGTCAGAATTTTTGTATTTCCTAAGCAAGTGTCAAGAGAATTCATGAAATCTGGCACAATCATAAAATCAGTATGATGCACATGCAAGTGGAATATTATCATTATTGTTGATTATTTCGTAATCCTTCAAGCTCCACTTCTTAAAAAAATGAACAGATCTCAATTGCTTTAGAAAATCACAGTTGTCAAATAATATGAATCACCTCCAGCAATGACATAGTTTCTAGTGCCGTGTCATTCTGACCTTCCCAATAAGAATCGAAGGATGTATGGATGATGTGAGGTGAGGTGAGGTGAAATTGGGTTTAACGTCGTGCTTGAGAATATTTCGCTCATATGACGACGTGCATGCGTGTGTATGTGTATGTGGGGCTGCTTGTACTAGCCCAGACTTAAGCTGGTTTTATAGTGCTAGCTCACTAAGATACCATGCCGCAGTGAAGCATGAATACCCCACTCAGACACATTATACTGACTCCGAGCCGACCGGTCCTTGTTGTACCCATTAATGCCGAGCGCCAGGCAGGAACCGACAAGTACCATATTTTAACGTCTTTTGGTATGACGCGGTCGGGGATCGAACCCGCGACCTTCCCTCTCCGGGCGGACGGTCTAACCACTACACCACGGAGGCGGTTTGGATGATGTGAGAATGATGTATGCATGGTGGATGTAATACACTGGTGTACTGCAGCTGGAAGGGATATCTTCACTTGTACATGTACAATTTTTATTGACTTTGTTCTTCTAACCCTACAGTAAGAAATGTAAATATGTTATCAAAACCTAAATAATACAAAATAATAGGAGACACATTTGAGAAAGACTGACATAATTTGCCTTCTGTCAGCTCCCACTCTGCCATCATTCATGTTCTTCTCCCGGTCTGTATTTCTCAGGGTTGGAAATAACTTTAAAATTGCTAGTGTACTCCGGTACAGTGGCACATGTAAAGTCACTTGCCCTGATTATTTTCCCACTATACCAACCGTTTTCTTGCTGATGTTTTAAATAAACAACATAATAAACATTAGAAAGTCAACTGGACACCGGTACTGTGTGATATACAAATTTGCTTGCCCGACAGAAAAAACACTGGACTTGGACGTCGGGCAATGGGTTATTTCCACCCCTGGAAGGCCCAAACATTTTAGCTGAAGAGACATACTTTTCAAATATAAGATCCGTTTGCAGGAAATGCCACATTTTTCAATCATGAAATGGGCCTATGTTTGGTTCCAATATTCCAGCTATATGGCGGCGGTCTGCATATAATCGATTCTGGACCAGGCACTGTACTGTATGGCTTATCACCATGTTAAACTTTATGTGGTGAAATTTGTGCAATGTTCTCTGAAACCATGAAATTGTCATGAAACCTTTATCTCCTTCAGTGAACAATATATTGTATTTAAGTGAAATGGTTAGAAATACTTCACATGACTGCAACAGGCAGCTAATTTTCCTACTTATCAAAATCATAAAAAAAATCACTGTAACAGATGCTGGAGTAATTAGAGAAATAACCGAGAGCGATTCAGGTTGTTTTTGATACAATTCTTGCAGAATTACAATGTGAAACTTAATGACATCGTGGAAATCAAATTGTCACAGATGAAAGAAAGGTGAAAAAGTGGGTGACTGAGTATGGTTTTAAGCCGCTTTTAGCAATATTCCTGCAATATCGTGGCAGAGGACACCAGAAATGGGCTTCACACATTGTACACATGTGGGGAATTGAACCCGGTGTAACAGGCCAGAGTATACCCCTGTCCCAGACTATACCCGGGGTTAAACTAGGCTAGCCCAGACTATACCCCAGGTATAAACTGGGCTAGCCTAGTTTATACCCTGGGGTATATTCTGAACTAGGCCATAGTATACCCCCCTAGCCCAGATTATACCCCTACAGAAAACAAGTGATTAAGGATACTACTATAATTTTATTGTACTTCTCACACAATTAAACACTGGTTACAACCTTTAAAAGGCTCGATACATTTTCCAGATACAAAGCATAATCAGTGTGAGTTTTCAAGCTGAAGCTGGCAGGGTACATCAGCCATTGCATTGACTGACCAACTGCACTGTAAATATAAATGTCACATTTTAACATGTCTTTGGCATGGTGAGCGAATGTTTTAATCACTAGACTACCCCACCGTCCCAAAGGATAAACAGATGGTCAAGCAATTCAAAACCATATCATTAATTATTATGTCTGCTTTATTTGGAACAAACTGCAAAATACTGTAACCGACATATTACTTGTAGATCAAGTCTATTAGATCAAAGTGATTAAACAATTTCTATCATCATCATAATCTCTGCAAAAAATCCATAAAACAGTGTCTATTGTAAAATTCTGGCTATATGATAAGCATTATTATTATCATGAATCACTATCAAATAGGGATGACACCAGGTGTTTCAGAAAGATGAGCATATCCTGCCCCACCAGTGATACCCATCACACACACATGCAAGGGCAAGTCAGTTGTTAAACCACATTCAGCATGAGCATCGATCTACACAACTGGGATACGATGACATGTGTCAAGCAAGTCAGCGAGCCTGACCACCCGATCCTGTTGGTCAATTTTACAACAAGCATAGGTTACTGAAGATCAATTCTAACCTGGATCTTCACGGGCAGATTATTTGACATGATATACGTCATGTTCACTGAAAACAGCTGAAGAGACTCACCCTTCAGTGTCTGAGGATGTGCGGTTCCTGCTCTTATTGATCAGTGCTTAGTCGTATCGTGTTACACAGACGGTTTTACCTTTCTTAGCATGATTGATAATGTCTGCTCATTGATAACCCAACAGTGTAACTCCATGCCGTTAATGAGGCTGATAGTTGTACCGGCTTCCTCAAGACTTAATGGTCATATATAATTATTTCCTGTTGAGAAAATATTCCAGTGTTTGTTTCATTTATATTATCCACAGTACCGGGTAGTCAAGTTTCCGGAGAGTTATTGATGCACAAGGTGGCACACGCCCCAGACAATGTCATTTATGGATTTACTGCGTATTTATTTTTCGGTTCATTGAGGCCAAACCATAGCAGATTCTTACAAAATTTTGCACATTGGTTTGTAGATTCATGCTTCAATGAACTGAAACAAATACCAAGTCAATCCTTATAATTATGTTGAACAATGAAAAGAATATATTTGCAAATGGTTTCATCAAAAACAATTGTATAAATCAAAGCACATATGAATCAGAAATTACGAGATTGATAAACAGTTCTGGAGAATGAATACATACTGTAGCATGACATATAAGTTGACACGCCCCCAACATCAGTAGTCAGTCAATGGAGAATAGCATAAAAACAAAGCTCGCATTTGGAAATGAATGCAATAATGCAGGAATTACAATAATTCAATGAAAATCTTATTTTATGTGCGTGCGTGCGTGCGTGCGTGAGTGAGTGTGTGTGTAAAATGTACAGTACAGTGGTGAATGAAGAGATAGGTTATGAAAACGTGCAAATTGTGACAATTCATGTAATTTCAACCTTATTTATATCCATGATTCTTTTTTAATTCAGTACATACATGAATGAAATTCACAAATAAAGATGCAACACAAATATCCTGCCATCACATTAAGATTATACATTGTACTCAAACTAATAACAGATGGCAATTATGCATCACATTAATATTCGTGTTACGTGATTATTTTGTGAATTTCTTCATGTACTACTGTACACTTCTGAACTTACACACACACGCACGCACGCACATACACACAATTGTTTAGTATATTTGTTGGGTATTAACACTGGTGCAAGAAGTCAGTTGAACTTTGAAACCAGCCAATCAGTGTTGAGACGATTAAATTTTTAGTAAAACATTCAGACGAGCATATTCTATTTTTGTATTTCAGCAGAAGTGTTGTTTTGTTTGACCTTTTATGAATGTTTCTGATAAAGGCTAATCCTTTGTATTGTTGTAGATTTTTTGTACTCCCTGTTTAATCAGAGTGCTGCTGCATCTAAAATGTAGTTCCTATCAAAAGAAATATTTGAATTCTTTGTGGGATTTCTTTTGTTAAAAGAAACAATTTTAGAGTCAACAGAGGAAAAATGAGCCAGAATCAATTTTGAAAACTGTCATCTCATCAGATCAAGAACCTGTTCTGTACAGATTTTGTGGTCAAAGTTCACTCAGGGTTCTGCTGATAAAAGACATTAATTTTATCCACATTTATCAAGTTCAAGGTTGGTTTAGCATTAAAGCATTTGTCACTTTTAAAAAATGAAATATTGAATTCAAAACGACACACTATGAGCTATCTATTGTAATGTCAGGAGACAGGATATGTCTAACTTTGCCATATACGGAAAACTGTGTTTATAACGAACACTTATATATCAATCAGACGGATATAGCAAACTCTGTTTTCAGGTCCTGTCCACTTGGTGGATAATTTAGTGGAAGTGTATATAGTGGTTATAACCGTACATGACTCTATAGGGAAATGGTGGGACATTATTTTGAAAAATATCTTTGTATCGCTTCGATATATACTCTCCAACTAGAATGCTGATGAAACAATAACTTTGCAGCACAACCTGTTATAAATTACTATTTAAAATGTAGCAGTTCGAAAGACATCCTCATTCAAGAAACCTTTGTCTATTGACTTAAGTTATTTGATCTGAATGAAGCACGCCATACTCTTTAGCCAAGTGAAAACTGACAGCATCTCAATTCCGGATGCTCATGACAGCCCAGGCTTAGAGAGTACAGAGTATGTTATGAGGAACACAGTACTGAATGGATCGTCTGTAACATACCGGTAATTGGCAGTGTCAGATTTCTCTTGCTGAGCAGGGAGGACTTTCAGGAGAGAACTACAGCAATTATGTTGTGATAGTTAAAACCACTATTGAAATTTCATCGCAATAGGTACACCTGAGAGTTTCCTAATGTACACACATTATATATCTTCTGGCATTATTCAACAGCAGACGTTTCCTAGCCTGGGTTCAGATTGTCTTAGGTTCAGACGTTCCCTGGATCAGAAAGTAGAGGGAAACGTTTTGAGCGAACTCAAGCTGTAATCAAACATCATGAACTGACAATGTTCTAGATGGATGTACGATCTACACATTGGATTGCCATTTTTTAGGACTTTTTACAAACTATGAAGTCAAAGTGATATCTGAAGATAGGATCAGAAAGTACAGGGAAACGTTTTTATCAAACTCACATTGTAACCCAACATCATGTTCTGACCATTTTCCAGATGGGTTTGTCTTTTTTAGTAGTTTGATCAAGGGTGAGTGTGATCAAACTTGGGACAGACAAATCAGTGGCAGTTAATTTGTCATAAATTTATTCTCATAGCATGTTGTCAGATTGCACAAAATATTGTCTGACAACCAGTTGTACATGTTGACCACAATGTCCTAATGGCATTTCATGATGATCATGATGATGTATGTCAGTATGTATTGTGCTTTTTCCATGCTAGATATCACGCTCAAAACTTACCCTTATCAATGGATCAGTGTCCACTGGATGTCCTTTCTCAACTCCCCTCGGGAGTATGCAAGATAAAACATCAGTGCAAAACATAACCCAGTCTTAACTATACTCAGAAACAAAGTCTTTTCAGTGTACAGAGATAACTGAAAACGGGATCACTCACTATCAGTGATGACACCAGGTGTTCGCAAAAAGCTGTTTGTCAGGTGCTACAAGCCTAACAACTAGTGACCATTTTCTCCTAGGGAATCACTGCTGGGTCATCAAAACCTTCCATTATTTGTCAGTACCAGCGGATTAAGCAGTGGAATGTACCATATTTCTTCTATATATTCTTCTGTGTGTGATTGGGTGGGTTCTTTGCATGACTTAAATAGCTTGCATAAGGTTTCATTTTAAACAAGACACATTAAAGGTCAACCCAGTTTGTCCAAACCATAATGAATTCTTGTGTATTGATCACAGATCAATATGAGAACCATAACATGTTCTTGTCCGAATGTTTAGACATCAACCATGTAGAATAATTTCTCGTGAACTACCTGTGGATGTTGAAAGCTGTTTAACTACCTGGGACTAGTTTTACAAACCATTTAAAGCAGATAATAGTTTTTCTAATAACAAGAATGATTGGTATTGATTTCTAAAATAAGAAACCAATATTTATTATGGCACTGCCAATTTGAAATGATGAATATAAGGCTGAACTGAATAGTCTCAGTTAGTCATGAGGAAAGTACAACATAAAGTATTGAAGTGAATGAGTTTAGTTTTACGCCGCGCTAAACAATTTTCCAGCTATATGGCGGTGGTCTGTAAATTGTCAGATCTGGACCAGACAATCCAGGGATCAACAGCATGAACTTCGATTTACGCAATTGGGATACGATTACATGTGTCAAACCAGTCAGCGAGCCTGACCACCCAATCCCATTAGTCGCCTCTTACGACAAGCGTGGGTTACTGAAGATCAATTCTAACCTGGATCTTCAAGGGTGCGAAGTGATTTTCTCAAATGAACAGCAACTGTAAGCACTAGGACTGCATGGTATTACTAGTATAATGCTGTTCAAACAATACAACCTGCAATATTTTTTGAGAACCTGTATATTGGGTTAAAACAATAAAACCCATATTGTGATTTGTTCGAAGGTTTCAGTTGAAATTTACACAACTTTCATTCAAAACAAATATTTCCTTTTCTAATTAATTGCAAATATGGCCAACTTTACTTACTATGGATTAATGTGTGAAGCCCATTTATGGTGTCCCTCGCCGTGATATTGCTGGGATATTGCTAAAAGCGGCGTAAAACCCAACTCACTCACTCACACTATGGATTATATAAAACAGAAAGAAAAAAAATCCCTAACTATTCCACCTACTCGTAATTTTGAGATTTCTGTTATCAAAACCAGGGATCCGTATGTACAATGAGTGTCACTCACTGTCAACTCTTTACGTCCCACAGAAACCCTATACCGGTACATGGTCTCTGTCTCCCAATATATCACAATACATATTACAATACGTATGCCTGTATTGCAATATATTGCAGTCCATTTTATTTGCCAATACACAGCCCTAAGACAGAACTGTACTATGGTATTTGGCCTGGAGGTAAAGCTATTCCGGGATTACTAGAGAGTAGACAAGATGGTGGAGTGGTGATCTCGGGTTTGATGTAGCGTTTAACCTGATGTCATAATACCATATGCTGTCCGTCTGTCTGTTTCTGTCTGACTATGTCTGTGTATGTCTGTCTGTCTCTGTCTGTGTCTGTGTGTGTCTGTTTCTGTCTGTGTGTGTCTGTCTGTCTGACTATGTCTATCTGTCCGTGTCTGTCTGTCTGTCTGACTATGTGTCTGTGTCTGTCTGACTATGTGTGTGTCTGTGTCTGTCTGACTATGTCTGTCTGTCTGACTATGTCTATCTGTCTGTGTCTGTCTGTCTGTCTGTCTGATATGTGTGTGTCTGTGTCTGTCTGACTGTCTGACTATGTCTATCTGTCTGTGTCTGTCTGTCTATCTGTCTGTCTGTCTGTGCTTGTACTAGTCCACACTAGAGCTAGATTTATAGAGCTAATCCAGTGAGATATCATGTCACAGTTTGACATAAATCACCAACTCAAGCAGTCTGTAGACTAAGATAGTCGTAAGTTAAAGTTAATGGCACTTATGACTGTCTTAACGCTAAGAGAGCTTCGACAATCTGGGCCCAGTCCTGGTTTTATCCCTATAGTACGTCAATCACAAGGCTGGGTAACAACAAGTATGTCTTTAATATCGTTTTGTATGGCACGGTTGGGAGTCAAACCAGCTCCCTGGGCTGATGTTCTTCTGGGACACAGATGTGAAGAGTTAATAAGGTCATCTGGAGGTCAATTAATAGCAGAAAAGAATACTTCTTGGTTAACATTTACAGAAAATAATGACACCGACTTCTGCTTGTTGTATCTATTAGTATTGGTTTGTAAAGGTGCAGTTTGTTTTGTGTATTATTTCAACTGTAGGATACTTCAAATCACAGACAACTAAGAGTTTTGGATCCGTAAAGCTTGGAATTTGGGAAGATTTGTACACCTTTAGCATTTCAGGATCCTATGATTATAGATTTGAGTACCAAATTTATATACCGTAGATAATGAACCTTGGTTTGTCATCATCTACCCAGTCACTTAAGTTTCATATAGTAGAGAACTTAATAAAGCTTGTTCTTTCTTCAAACCTTTAGTTGTTGACCATCATATATCTGAAATAGGAAGAGGAACCTACTCACTTGTACCGCATCAAAGAGTTATTATCTGATTGTAATGAAATTGGGCAAAATGTTTTTGAGTATTCATGGTGGCACAATTCAAAAACCTGTAAAACTCTGTTCTTAAAGGTTATGAGTAATTTTAGAGTACTAATCCTTTCATCCGCTTGAATAGTGAGCCTTGTCTAAATATGGATTCCTATTGACACAAAACCATGCAGATCCGTAAACCCTAAATGAGAAATAATTTACTGACAGGATTGAAATCTCATTTGCCTTTGTGCATCGTGGAGAATCCTCTCAAACAGTGATAATGTCATTCAGTTTCCCTACTGCTGACAGACAACATTTTTCGGATTTAGTTGTGACATAATAGAACGGATTCAATTGTTTCAATCATGTCTGAGTCGTAGCCTTCAGCTCATCAGCGTGTAAATGCACTACATGATAAAACTAGACCGCCTCTGTGGTGTAGTGGTTAGAGCATCCGCCCGGAGAGCGGAAGGTCGCGGGTTCGATCCCCAACCGCGTCATACCAAAAAGACGTTAAAATATGGTACTTGTTGGTCCCTGCCTGGCGCTCGGCATTAATGGGTAACACAAGGACTGGTCGGCTCGGAGTCAGTATAATGTGTCTGAGTGGGGTATTCATGCTTCACTGCGGCATGGTATCTCAGTGAGCTAGCACTATAAAACCAGCTTAAGTCTGGGCTAGTACAAGCAGCCGCACACACACATACACACGCATGCATGCAGAAATATTCTCATATGACGCGTTAAATATTCTCAAAGCACGACCTATAAACCCACCTCAATTTCACCTCACCTCACTTGATAAAACTGATATCATCCCATGTCTTTAGTTGTACTGTCCATATTTTGTTACGAGATATGTACGGCTTGATTGTAGATTTATGTCCAGGGAGGACTAGTCCAAGATTCCATAGTGGAGATAACCTTTAACTTATCTCATCTCGAGATGAGGCATTGAGAGGTCATCTGAGGACATATCTCCTGCAGAGGTAATCACACATAAAGAGATGTATGAATGGAAGTCAAGTCCTAATACTCCATCACCTGTCACTATATGCATGGCAAGGCATGTGGAGATTGGTATACAAGTAGATGTAATATACCATTTATTGTTTAAGTTGTTTCAAAATGTATCTAACAAGTGAAAATGGGATTCATTATAAAAATGATTTGTCAAATACATGGGCTATTAATACGACAGGCACTGCAGTAATTTTTCTGTACACACTGTACCATTTTGGCATCAAACTGGTGTGGGTTTTTTTGTATTATGTTAGTCACAGTGAAAATGAGTTATATCCATTATAAAAATGATTTGTTCGATACATGGGATACGACATCAGCTTATAATAAGACAGGCATTGCAGTAATCTTTTCCCTACACAAGTTCAAAATGTACCATTTTGGCATCAAACTGATGCCTATGGTTTGCATTATGTGACTGATTAACACAACATCCATGACTGACTGGCTGTGAGTCATACAGTTGACTGCTTACAACTCATACATAATGTGACCCTCCATGAAAAATGTTGACCTGTGTGTTCAACCACCTTTCAAAGAGAAAATGATAATGTAAACTAGATCAGATAAAAAAACCCATTTTATTAACATTTTAAAGCCTTAAAGATTTGACACAGTTGTTGGTGAATTGAACTGAAGTAGAGAAACATGTCTATGAATAACCATCAGGAAAGTAGTACATCATGATCTGACCTCAGGTCATCTCCATGGAGAAGCCAATCATGGAGCAGAGATTCAGTATTCTCACATGTGATATCAGTTATCTCAAATGAGTTTCTCACAACAAGTGTGTGAAAAAATGGTCTGCTTTTAATTATATGATTCATGATTCAAAACCTGTGAAGGTCCGGGTTAGAATGAACCTTCAGTAACCCATGCTTGTCGTAAGAAGCGACTAACGGGATCGGGTAGTCAGGCTCGCTGACTTGGTTGACACATGTCATGGGTTCCCAATTACGCAGATCGATGCTCATGCTGTTGATCACTGGATTGTCTGGTGCAGACTCGATTATTTACAGACCGCCGCCATATCGCTGGAATATTGCTGAGTGCGGCGTAAAACTAAACTCACTCACTCACTCATGATTCAAAAGCATGAGAGAGCTCACTAAATGGTGGCGTTACAGAAGCTGGCGTCCATGAACGTGTCCCCTTTATGTGTATCTCTTCGAAATGTAAATTTTTCAGTGTCATGATGATTGTTTAAAAACAAAAGGAATTATTTCTAAGTTTTGAAAGATTAGCACAACTCTCCTCATTTACACATGTACTTATTGTATTGACCATTTTGTTTCTTTAACTTAAACCTGTGTCTTGTCAGCAACATCCATCATGAGTGTGTTGTCTGAAATTGTTTAAAGCTGTGGAAATATTTTGTGAAATTTTTACTATATTCAGTCAATTGGTGTGAAATGCAGGGCACAGATTGTGGATGTGATTGTAACGTGTGAATTATTCGCAAAGTACAAAGGTTACTGCAAACTCTGATTATAAATTGTGAATGTGATTGCTAATTGTTAATGTGACTGAAACCTGTGGATGCGATTGCAAACTGGGAATATGATTGCAAACTGAATGTGATTGCAAACTGAATGTGATTGCAAACTGAATATGATTGCAAACTGGGAATATGATTGCAAACTTGGAATATGATTGCAAACTGAATATGATTGCAAACTGAATGTGATTGCAAACTGGGAATATGATTGCAAGCTGAATATGATTGCAAACTGAATGTGATTGCAAACTGGGAATATGATTGCAAACTGGAAATATGATTGCAAACTGAATGTGATTGCAAACTGGGAATATGATTGCAAACTGGGAATATGATTGCAAACTGAATGTGATTGCAAACTGGGAATATGATTGCAAACTGGGAGTATGATTGCAAACTGGGAATATTGCAAACTGGGAATATGATTGCAGACTTGGAGTATGATTGCAAACTGGGAATATGATTGCAAACTGGGAATATGATTCCAAACTGAATATGATTGCAAACTGAATGTGATTGCAAACTGGGAATATGATTGCAAGCTGAATATGATTGCAAACTGAATGTGATTGCAAACTGGGAATATGATTGCAAACTGGAAATATGATTGCAAACTGAATGTGATTGCAAACTGGGAATATGATTGCAAACTGGAAATATGATTGCAAACTGGGAGTATGATTGCAAACTGGGAATATGATTGCAAACTGGGAATATGATTGCAAAGTGTGAAGGTGATTATAAGCTGTGAAGATGTAAGTCTGAATGTGATTGCAAACAATGGTAAGTCTATTACCAGCATATTTGGCACCGGAATTAAAGAATTGTTCAAGAGGACCAACAACACCTGACACCCCGGGGACTGAGTACCAAGCCATAATTAGTTGTCCAGGACTTCATATAGTAGAATATAAGGTCCGGCAAATGTCATTCGTTAGTAACAGAAGTTCAGTGATTGATATCGATTGTTTTCCTGAAAGTTTGAACATCATCCTAATGCCAACTCTCCCATTAACTGGTCTTCCTTTATCAGAAGTCTGTGAAGCCTGTGTGTAAAACCTGAGTTCTGGCACCATTATCTATATCCTGCTTCATATGGTTAATAGGTCAAACTGACTTCTGTTTGTTACAGAATTAGTGTTTGATAGTGAGATTTGCCAATTTCTGGGGAATCAGGTTGGAATATTACATATGATGTCAGCTGAAGGGAGATCTATAGACCTTTGACACATGTGATTTAGTCTTGTAATTTGGATAAATACCTTATGAATTGTCATAATATCTATTATCATTTCATAGGTCATTATGAACCTAAGGAAAGGTGTCTTGACTGATTCTAAATCTTTCTCCCAATGATACATCTGAATACACAGTGCAAAATATTCACTTTCTAACTTCTTTGATCAGTGTATGCCCCAACGCATTGAAGTCATTGTGATTACAATGTTCTTTTTGAATCTGGAGTTAAATTCTCAATAATTTCTGGTTGTACTGTACATCTGAATACACAGTGCAAAATATTCACATGGTGTATTTTTAAAAGATCTTGTGTTATCTGGTCAAATGATATTCTTTATATTGACCAGACAGGAGTCAGAAAGGAATGATGATGTTGCAAGGATCAGTTGTTTGGTTCCAAAAAATGATCTTTGAAGAGGGATATAACTTCTCAATATGCTGGATAGGCTACAGAAATAGACGATGATTTCGTTCCTCACAAAAGGATTTTCATGTCACTGGAATGTATCAACCTCCCAAACGAATATTTTTTTACACAAGTCTTAATGAATTGCTGGTCAACTTAATGTGCAGGGGCAGGTGTTGACTTCAGGAACCATACCTGTTAGAAGAAGGATATTCAAGTGAAAATCTTTCAGTGCTTTGCTGTTCTGTTATTCACTAAATCCTTTAAGCTTCTTGCTTAAGAAAAAGAAGGTTATTATTCTGGACTTCCTCAGCAAAGATTCTCAACACC